ATATTCTATAGTCTGGTCCATAGACTAGCCCATAGTCTAGTCTATAGTCTATTCTATAGTATATTCTATAGTCTGGTCTATAGACTAGCCTATAGTCTAGTCTATAGTCTATTCTATAGTATATTCTATAGTATATTCTATAGTATATTCTATAGTATATTCTATAGTATATTCTATAGTCTAGTCTATAGTCTAGTCTATAGTCTAGTCTATAGTCTAGTCTACAGTCTAGTCTACAGTCTAGTCTATAGTCTAGTCTATAGTCTAGTCTATAGTCTAGTGTACAGTCTAGTCTATAGTCTAGTCTATAGTCTAGTCTACAGTCTAGTCTATAGTCTAGTCTATAGTCTAGTCTATAGTCTAGTCTATAGTCTAGTCTATAGTCTAGTTTATAGTCTAGTTTATAGTCTAGTTTATAGTCTAGTCTATAGTCTAGTCTATGGTCTAGTTTATAGTCTATTCTAGTATATAGTCTATTCTAGTATATAGTCTATTTTAGTCTATAGTCTATTCTAGTCTATAGTCTATTCTAGTCTATAGTCTATTCTAGTCTATAGTCTAGTCTATAGACTAGTCCATATTTTAGTCTATAGACTAGTCCATATTCTAGTCTATAGACTAGTCCATATTCTAGTCTAGTCTATAGTCTAGTCTATTGTCTAGTCTAGTCACTAGTCTATATTCCAGTCTATAGTGTAGTATATAGTCTAGTCGATAGTATAGTCTAGTCTACAGTCTATTCTATAGTCTAGTCTGTAGTCTAGTATATAGGCTATAGCCTAGCCTATAGTCTAATCTATGGTCTTGTCTATAGTCTAGTCTAAAGTCTAGTCTATAGTCTAGTCTAAAGTCTAGTCTATAGTATAGTCTATAATCTAGTCTATAGTCTAGTCTATAGTCTGGTCTATAGCCTAGTGTACAGTCCTGTATATAGTCTTGTCTATAGTATAAGCTGTAGTATAGTCTAGTCTGTAGTCTAGTCTATAGTCTAGTCTATAGTCTAGTCTATTGTCTAGTCTATTGTCTAGTCTATAGTCGAGTCTATAGTCTAGTCTATAATCTAGTCTATAGTCTAGTCTATAGTCTAGTCTATAGTCTAGTCTATAGTCTAGTGTATAGTCTAGTCTATATTCTAGTCTATAGTCTAGTCTATAATCTAGTCTATAGTACTTTCTATAGCCTAGTCTACAGTCCTGTCTATAGTCTAGTCTATCGTCTAATTTAAATCTCTGACTCTAACACTACAATTATTTGCTGGGTTATTTTCTTACTGTTTTTATTGTTTTAAAATCTTCAAAAACCCTTTTTAGTTCTAAATAAAATTGTCATTTGTCTCTATTATCCTTTTGGAAAATAAAACAAAAAAGCAAATAACAAATTGTTATGGAGAAAATGTCAACTACATAAAATTAATTTTACATATGAGTGTGTTCTTCCAAAAAACTTGCAACACTTTCTTTTGCTGCTTACTAAGTGTGTGACACTTGCTTTTTTTTCTATCAACTTAAAATTAAAAGTAATAGTTAATCTTAAACTGTCAAAAATTAATTTTATGTTTATTTTTATGAAATTTCTAAATGCTTGAACGCTTACCCCTTTCAGTAGCTAAAGTCACTGAAGTAGCAAGTGTAGAAATATGAAAGCGTATGAGTATTGAAAAACATTTAGATACACATACGTATGTATGGTGCAAGACGTATGTGTAACTTTTAGTGGTTATTGTATATACTATTTGTTCTCATAAAAATTAATGGTTTCTATAAATTAAGCAATCATTGAAGCATGTTTAACTTTAGTTGACTATAATCCTCTAGAATACACTTCCTTACAAGTCGTTGAAATAGTAATTAATTTTTGTAAAATGTCATTTAAAATGTTAAAGTTATATTTTCTATATTTATTAACAACATTTCCTTATTATAATTTCAATAGTTTTATAATAAATGCTTTTTTTATTTCAAACATGGAACAACACATTAACCTTGATATTTTCCTTGACAATGGTACCATATCAGTAGCATTCCTTCTTACACATATAAAATGTTTCTCTCTAAAGTAATTTTCATTATCAAGGACTTAAGTTGCCTCGACAGCTCTTGCTGCTACAGTTTTTTCCGCTTTCAACTCAAATAAAAACAATTGTAACAATTCATGTAACTGCCACCAAAGGATTTAGTTAAAAATCTATACATAACACTTGCTACAAATCCATTACAATCCCTTGTTCTTTCTACATTTTTTCTGCTACTAACCCAGTTTCTTTTTGCTATAACAAAATCTTATAGCTACAAATGACCTTGACAATGAAAATTATATTTTTTACAGTTTTCTGCTTAGCAACAGTTGAAAGTTTTGTTTAGTAAAATGAAAAACAAAAAGGGTCCTGTATATCCCTACCAGTTTGTCAAACAATATTAGGGAGTTTAAGTTAATAAACGATAAAATGAAATATCAAGGTCATTGAAAAGAAATAATAATGCTGGTAAATGACAAGGTCATTTAGTAGTTTGTTGTTAACATGTGCGGTTGCAAAATACAGTAAAAGGTCTTGAGAGATTACATTTTATAGTAATTTTAAAGTTTTTTTATTATAGTCCCTTTTAAGGACATTTTGCTGTTGTGGAGTGAAGTAGTTTCTAGAAAAATGTGTCAAGTTTAAGGTTTCCATTTCTTGTTGCCATGCTGTTACAGATTGTTGTTGTGCAAATAAAATATTAATGTTGTTTAAAACCACAAGTAGATTTATAGAAGTTTGTTTTAAATTTATAAGTTTTACTGATCTAAGACTCAAAGATATGATCAAGATCAACTTTCTATTTTTAATAAAAAAATTGTTGAGATCGATAGTAATTTTTCTGTAAAAAGTAGATGAGAACTGGAGCAACTTTTTTGTAAAAAATTGATGATATGGGAATTGACTTTTCTATAAAAATGTAGATGAGATCGAGAGCAACTTTTCTTTAAAAATTTTGATGATTTCGAGAGCAACTTTTACAATGAAAAGTTAATGAAAATTGAAGAGATTGAGAGCAAATTTTCTATAAAAATTTGATGATATCGAAAGCAACATTTTTATAAAAAATGATGATAAGGTCGAGAGAACATTCTATAGAAAAGTAAATAATATTGAGAGCAACTTTTTTCTAAAAATGTTGATGAGATCGCGGGCAAATTTTCCATAAAAAAATCAATGAGATCGTGAGCAACTTTTCTATAAAAAGTAAATGAGATCGAAAACAATTGTTTCATAGAAAAATTAATGGAGATCGGGAGTAACTGTTCTATGACAAAGTTGATGTGATCGAGAGCAAATTTTTTATAGAAAAATTAATGGAGCAACTTTTCCATAAGCATCTTTTCTCTAGAAAAATGTATGAGATCGGGAACAACTAGAAAAAGTTGATAAGATCAAGAGCAACTTTTCTATAAAAAATTTGATGATATCGACAGCAACTTTTCTGTAAAAAAGTTGATGATTTCGAGAGCATATTTTACGCAAAAATGGTGATTAGAACGAGAGAAAATTTTCTATAGAAAGTTGATGAGATCAACAACAACTTTTCTATTAAAAAGTGATGATTTCGAGAGCAATTATTACAAATGAAAGTTGATCAGAATGAAAGCAATTTTCTTTAGAAAAGTTGATGAGATCGAGAGCATATTTTTTATATAAAAATTTATGAGATCGGGAGCAACTTTTCTATATAAAAATTGATGAGATCGAGAGCAACATTTTTTATAAAGAGAACGAGAGCAAAACTTATTAATGAAAAGAACAATTTTTCTATAGAAAAGTTTATATAATTTATAAAAACTATTCTACGGAAAACTTTGCGAGATCCGTCAACTATTTCATAGAAAATGTGACGAGATCGGGAGCAACTTTTTTGTAGGAAAATTGCAACACTCGAGAGCAAATTTTCTATAAATATGTAAATGTGAGATTAGAATTCCTCTAGTAGCATCTTACTAAAATTCCTTTGAGATTTGAAAGATTTTTTTTTTAATTTACAATAAATTGTTTGCTATTTACAATAAACAATTCATGGCTTTTCAATTGAATGGCTCTTTTTAACACAATGAAATAAATCTCTAAACTTGTTTGCTCTCAGAAAAAGAGGAGAAAGAAATGTGTATAGGTTTCAATAGTATTTATACTCTAAGTTCGAAACTCTGTTTAACCAGAGTGTTCGAAAATTTGAATTTCTCCTTCTTTAGAAACAATTTTATTCTCTATCAAATAAAGTCTTAAGATATTGTATGAGTTTAATGCAATAAACTCCCCTTATAAAAAATCTCCCCTATTTGTGGTTATATGAGTAGAATGCGAAAGTTTTCTATTATAAATTCGAATTTTATAAGGGTGACTGTTACTCTCTAAAATACCGTTAAAATGTTGATTATAGAAAACCTTAAGAAATTGAGAGAGCGAGAGAGAGTGTGTATTAACAAATTGAATAAGACTTACAAAGGTGCTAATGCAATTCTAGTTGGTAATTTAGAGAGTGCTTACTATGAGTGTAAATGTAATGTGTGTGTCAATTGTGGTGGTTTTGAACTTTTTTTTTTTTGGTTCAAGGGGAGGGTGAAATATTTGTACTTTACTTTTGTTTTGGGTGAACTTTATGGGTATTGTTTCTGTTGTATGAACGAGGACTGTTGCTTCCTAGTAAATGTATAAATTTTTTTCTCTATTTGCTATATATGAGAGTGAGTGTTTTGTGTGAATGTTGGTATTGTGAACCATGAAATGCAATTGAAGCAGGAAATGTTATAAAATTGTGTGCTACAAGGATATGCTTAGTCAGTCTATTACGAACCAAGCACAAGACAACTTATAACCTTGTAGTGAAGGATATTTTTCAAGTGAAAAATCGAAACCGCAAACAAATTTTGACGTAATATTTTACGTAGTTAATAGAAATCAATTTTTGGCGCCAAAAATAAATAAACTTAAAAAAAGGCGCAGAAATTAAAAAAAAAAAAACTTTTTGAAAATTTAAAACAAGTTTTAAATTTGAAAACATTTATTAAAAAAAAGAGAAAAAAATATCTTGCAAAATAACAAAAACTGTTAAAAATGGCCATAGCTTATTTTATACCAGATCAAGCCAAATTATTGGCGGGCCAACGTCAAACAAGAGCAACTACTAATACCAGTTCCTCCAGAAACTCCAGCAGTAGCAGCCCACAAACAACTTCCTCTAGATTAACGCAAAACGACAACAACAATACGCCAGCAAGTGAAACTGCCCCTGTTAATTCCAATGTTAATAGAGGCTATGGAACCACCATTAATATAACAGTGCCTACTTTTAACAACACCCCTCAGGAACCTTTGGGATGTTGGGATTTTTTGACACAAGTTTTTTGTCATGCCTTGAGATTTTACCATGAATCATCACAACTACAGCCGACGGTTATACAAATATCGGTGAATTTCAATTCACAAACAGCAACAACGACCAGTTCTGCAACAACCACAGCAGACTCTACGGCTACCACAACAGCGACGGCCACAACACCAGCAACTACTGCCACTGAGGACTCTAAGCAAAGAAAATTTTCTAAACGAAAAAATTAATTTTCAAAATTTAAAAACTCTTAAACAACGATGTTTTTTTTATAATTTTAAAAAGTTTCTTATATTTCCCTTAAAAGCAAAGAAAGGAATTGTAGAAAGAATGTAAGGACTTGTTAATTTTATTTTTAATTTTTTTGTAATTTTTAGCTTTTAGCGGCTCAATCAAAGCAAATTGTGATTCCAAAAAAGTAAATAGCCTAGTAATAAAAAAACTTAAAATATAAAATTTAATTATTTTTATAAATCTTTTTTAAGATTTTTTATAAATAATTTTCCTTATTAAAAAAACAAAACAAGCAAAAAAATAACAGCTATAAAGTGATGTTTATTTTTTTATAAAATATTTTAAAGGAAAATTAATTTTATAATTACTTTTTTGGAAATTGTTTATATTATTATTTTTTTTCTAAAAATAAGTTTTAACTAAAGAAAAAACAGCTGCCTAGTAAAAGTAAAACAAAATGTAAATGAAAGGTTTCGTTTCGTAAGGAATAAAAAAAATCATTTAAAAAAATTATAATTAAAATTTTTAATCATAACAATTAAATTAAATAAAAATTACACTTTTTTCAAAAAAATTCTTAAAAATAATTGGCTGCATTTTTTATTTATTATTTATCAAACATTTTTTACAAACTTTTAGAAAAAATAATTTTAATATTTTTTTTCTTAATTTTTGAAAAATTATTAAAATTAAAAAAAAAAACTTGAAAATTACTCCACAACTAATCAAACCAGCAGTTTAAAATTTCCGTAAAATTTTTTAACGATTTTGAAAAAAATTCAATAAATTCAAATCAAAGTTGAAATAAACAAAAATTTTTGAAATAAAGTAAAAAAGAATATGGGAATTACGAGAAATATTTTTTGATGTTTAAATTGAAATTCTGATATTTTAAAACTTTATAAAAAAAATATTATTGTACTATTTTATTATTGCAAATTTTTAATTTATTTTCTTCAATAATAAAAAAAATTTAAATTATTATTATTGAATTATGGAAAATTTTCGTTAATTCATTTCAAACCATCTTTTTGCAATAGCTATAAGAAATATAAACTTAATCCATATACTAATCACTCTTAACTTAAAACTTTATTCTTAAATATAACGAAAACAAAAAATACTTAAAAAAAACTTAACCAACAAATACAACTCTGTAAACGTAACGTACAAGATTATTTAAAGTGAAAATTAACAAATAAATAACCCTTAAATAAGTGCAGCTAATTATAAAAATATTTAAAAAAATAATAAAACAACAAAGACCAGCCACTACCACAAACAAATGAAAATAAATAATAGTGTACAAACTATAGTTTAAGGCAAAAAATAAAACTAAAAACAAATACTAATCTCATTTATAATAAAATTTTTTTTTTTGGTAAATTTTTAAGAAAAATAAATATTATAAAATTGAATAAAAAATTATTAAAAAGTTTTTTTTATTAAAATATTATTTTAAAATTTTCTGCAGAATTTTCTTAGTTTTGAAATTAACTTTTTATAAAGTTTTTGAAAATAATTTTATTTTACATATATTTTTTTCATAAACTGAAAATTTTTATTATAAATGAGATTTCAAAACTATTTTAAAATAATCCTACCGAATATAAAAACTCGTATTTAATAAAACAAAAACATACTTTAAAACTCTGTATTCTCTATATTAAAATTTTAAGATTTTTGATACAAATTTATGTAGAACTATAAACAAGATTTGAAATAAAAAATACATACTTATAAAGAAAATTAAAAAAAAATCGTTTAAATGACATGGGGGATAGGTGAAATGAAGGACCGATTTAACCATTTTCAATAAGATACGTCCCTAATATAATAACAAATCATGTACCAAATTTTACTAATTATCTCTAAAATTTGAAGGATGGACATAGCTACATCGACACAAAAAGTTATTCTAAACCAATTGGTATATTTTCAGGGTGTTAGTTAGTTAGTTAGTTAGTTAGCTAGCTAGCTAGTTAGTTAGTTAGTTAGTTAGTTAGTTAGTTAGTTAGTTAGTTAGTTAGTTAGTTAGTTATTGTTAGTTAGTTAGTTAGTTAGTTAGTTAGTTAGTTAGTTAGTTAGTTAGTTAGTTTTAGTTCGTTCGTTAGTTAGTTCGTTAGTTCGTTCGTTAGTTCGTTCGTTTCGTTCGTTAGTTAGTTCGTTCGTTCGTTAGTTAGTTCGTTCGTTCGTTCGTTCGTTAGTTCGTTCGTTCGTTCGTTCGTTCGTTCGTTTTCGTTCGTTCGTTCGTAGTTCGTTCGTTAGTTCGTTCGTTTTGTTCGTTCGTTTGTTCGTTCGTTTCGTTCGTTCGTTCGTTCGTTCGTTCGTTCGTTCTTCGTTTAGTTCGTTCGTTTTCGTTCGTTCGTTCGTTCGTTCGTTCTTCGTTCGTTTCGTTCGTTCGTTCGTTCTTCGTTCGTTCGTTCGTTTCGTTCGTTCGTTCGTTCGTTCGTTCGTTCGTTCGTTTGTTCGTTTCGTTCGTTCGTTCGTTCGTTCGTTCGTTCGTTCGTTCGTTCGTTCTTTTGTTCGTTCGTTCGTTCGTTTCGTTCGTTCTAGTTCGTTCGTTTTCGTTCGTTCGTTCGTTCGTTCGTTCGTTCGTTCGTTCGTTCGTTCGTTCGTTCGTTTCGTTCGTTCGTTGTTCGTTCGTTCGTTCGTTCGTTCGTTCGTTCGTTCGTTCGTTCGTTTCGTTTCGTTCGTTCGTTCGTTCGTTCGTTCGTTCGTTCGTTCGTTCGTTCGTTTCGTTCGTTCGTTCGTTCTTCGTTCGTTCGTTCGTTTTCGTTCGTTCGTTCGTTCGTTCGTTCGTTCGTTCGTTCGTTCGTTCGTTCGTTCGTTTCGTTTGTTCGTTCGTTCGTTGTTCGTTCTTCGTTCGTTCGTTCGTTCTTTCGTTCGTTCGTTCGTTCGTTCGTTCGTTCGTTCGTTTCGTTCGTTCGTTCGTTCGTTCGTTCGTTCGTTCGTTCGTTCTTTCGTTCGTTCGTTCTCTCCCGTCCCTGTTCCTACTGTTTCCCCCACCCTTCTTCTCTTTCTGTTTTCTTTTTTCTGCGGGCCCGTCCTTGTCCTTCCTGATCCCATTCAGGTGTGTCATAGGTGTAAGGTATAAAAATCGTTATGTATAACATCATACTACTTATGAATTTAATATTCTGAAAGAAAAAGTCATGTTCATACTATTTATGAAAAATTCGATTTAAGTATTTTTTTCTTTGTGCTTTTTCTTTTGTGAAATAAATTAAGATATGCATTAAAATATATAATATTTTTTTAATAAATTTTGGTTTAAATCCTTTAAATCATTGAAAAAGTCAATTTTTGAGACTAACAACTGATTTTTTTAAAACAAAGGCATTCTTTTTGAAACCGCCCACTCAACTACAGTTTTTTTTTTTAACTTTAAAATTTTGCTCTTTTTTTTAATAAAACAATTATAAACCTTTGCTAAAGAAATTATAAAATCCTTATCGCTAATTTGATTGTATGTATGGTCACCAACAATCAAACCACAACTGTTACCATAAAATTTAATTAATGTCCTTGCATATGTTGCGGTAATTTCTTTACAACAATTACCAACATTTAATGACAATTGTAAAAAAGAAACCTTTTTTTTTTTGCTCTAATACAGAAAACAAAATTTTAAACGTTTATGAAACACTTACTATTCAAAATAATTGTAGGCGTTAAAAATTCCTCACCTAAATAACCACAAACTGACCACTAGTACTTTTTTTAAACATTTAAAAGGTCTAACTGCAAGTCGCGACATATTTAGACACTGTAATTTTCCTGTAATTTTTTATCTTGACCAATAAATCTAACACTCTCTCTTTTCCTTAATTTTCCTTTACAGAGTACTGAAATTGTTTTCGTTTAAGGGTGCATGGCAGGTAAGGACTGTGCAATTAAATTTAACCAAAATTTTATATTTTACTGTTTCCGATTTTGTAATGAAGATAACAAACAAATTAGCGCTTGTATAAGCGCTCGGAGTATGAAATGTTTGCATAATTATTTTCATTAAATTTTATTAGACTTCTCGGCAATATTCGACCAAAAAAAAAGAGTGAAAGCTACAGTGACAATTTGGTTTTGTTTGTCATATTTTCAAAAAGTGTTATCTTTTCAAATAGATCATTTGTCACAGATGTTTGGTTTATTAGTTTTTTTATATTATTTTCTAACAAAATCATTTAGTCCTGAAAGCTTTTTGTTAGTAGTTGCTGTTGCACCACCATAATGTTGTAAGTGGGGTGTTGAATATTATCTAAAGTGTGAGTTTTTGTGGTTCCATCCGTCCTGTTATTTCCGTCTTTTGTCTTTGACTTTTGTGCCTGGCAACCGAAAAAAAAACTTATGATGACTTAACATTATATGATTGTGGTTAAACAAATGGTATTTAACCGTAACCTTTTAACATTTTTTTAACCCTTTAAATTCATTCATTCATTGAATTCATTCATTTAGTATTTTTAAAAAGTTTGTTTTTCATATTTTTGTATTCTTTATGATTTCATTGTCTGAGGCATGACTTGTTAGAATTTGTTAAAGTTTAATTGTGATGACATATTGGTCTTTGATGTCTATCTATTAATGTTCGTTCTTGTTTGCGGTTTTTTTAAATTTTCTAAATGTTAAATTTTATTTTTAAAAAGGGGTAAGTGTTTAGAGGGAGAATTAGCTTGTTCGCTGTTGTTATCAATAAGTAGAAAATTGAAAGGATTAAAATGCTGCTGTAAAAGGATATTTAACAAATGTTCATTAATTAAAGCTTAACTAAGAAAAGAAATATGAAATATAATTACAAATTTTAGAATTACTTAAGCTTTTAAAAAGTACAAATGTTAGAAAATTTTACGAGATTTGTTTAAAGTAATTTAAAGTGTTACTTTTTGTAGAGAAAGTTTGAACCAGTTAGCAGCAAAAAGTTCTCTCTTGAACACTCTTTCTATCTTATTTGTATAAAAGCAAACC